AAATTTTTTAACACCTGGTTCCGTGGGCCTGTCTAGGTGGGCATGGCCACGTGATGACCCTCACTTTGTTAAGGACCTAGAAGTACTCATCTCAAACTATCTAAGCCCCAGAGCTCACTGTAACATCATTGCCAAAAAGGCTTTAAGAGTTGTAAACCTTATTTTGTCAAGCTTCTTCTTCGGTAACATTGAATTGCTAACCAGGACATACAAAACCTTTACCTGACCAATTCTTGAATACAGCTCATCTGCCTGGAACCCACACTGTACATCGGACATTAACATGATTAAGTGGATCCAGAGGTATTTCTTGAGAAGAGTACTCCACTCTTCTACTCACAATAGAATCTCTTATGCCTCCAGGCTCGAAATGTTGGGTTTGGACAATCTGGAACGGCACTGCCTGTGGTCTGATCTAAGCATAGTATGTAAAATGGTCTGCTACAACATCTTGCCTGTCAATGACTTCTTCAGCTTCAACCACAATAATACACGGGCAAACAATCAATACAAACTCAAGGTAAACCACTCAAAACTCGATTGCAGAAAATACAACTTCAGCAACAGAGTGGTCAACGCCTGGAACGCCCTACCCGACTCTGTGGTTACAGCCTCAACCCCTCGCAGCTTCAACCTCAAACTGTCTACTGTGGACCTCACCCCATTCCTAAGAGGTCCTTAAAGGGGCCGTGCATAAGCGCACCTGCATGCCTACCGTCCCTGTCTTATTGTCCCCATTTATCTGTATTTACTTCTTTTGTTCTTGTTTGTGTTCATACTTATACTTATTATCTTGTGCATGTTTGACAAACAAATAAAATAAAGCAAAGTAACTAACTTGGTATTTCAAATGGATGGTTGGTCCTGGATCAGAGCTGCCTCCTCACAGATCCAGTGACTACCTTTCTTTGCAATGGGTGGACTTGTAAAAATATAGCTTGGACCCGAAGGGCCAAGCAGGTAGTCCTCAACGTACAACCATTTGTTTAGTGATGCTTCAAAGTTCCAACGGCACTGAAAAAAACAACTCATGACCAGTTTTACAGCTACGTTGCAGCTTCCCCAGGGTCATGTCCAGGGGTGGGCTTCAAAAATTTTAGCAATGGTTCTCTGCCTGGTTGCTGGGTGGGCGTGGCCATGGTAGGCATGGCCTAGTCTGCCTCCTGCATTATGGGGGGCGGGGAGGGGCATTTTTTGTCCTGCCCAGATTCTGCAGGCTTTCGTCAAGCCTCCAGGTGGGCAAAAATGGCCTCCCCGGGCTCCGGAAGCTCCCTGGAAGCCAGAAACGGGCCCATTTCCAGCCTTCCTGAACTTCCTGGAGCAGTGGTGGGATTTTTTAAAAAAATTACTACCGGTTTTGTGGGCATGGCTTAGTAGGCAGGGCAGGGGAAGGATACTGTAAAATCTCCATTCCCTCCCCACCACTAACCTGCTTCCCACCTTCGTTCTCCTGTAGAGGAAGACCCAGCCAATCAGCTGGGACTCAGGAAGCAGAGAATAGATGGGGGCAGTGCAAGTCAGAGGTGGGATTTGCCAGTACTCCGAACTACTCAACATTTCCGCTACTGGTTCTCCAGAACTGGTCAGAACCTGCTGAATAGCACCTCTGTCCAGGTGGCCCTTTTTTCACCCTCCCCAAGCCTCCACGGATGCCCTGTACTTACCTGCATCCAAAATGGACCACTTGGGATCTCCTGGGAGGGGAGGGGTAGTCAGGCCAGCCAGGAGTGTGATTTGGAGGTTCTCCAAACTGCACAGAACCTTAGCTAGAGGCTCTCCTGAACCCCCACAAACCCCCAGCAGCCCACCTTGGTCCTGTCATCAAAATTCAGATGCTTGGCCACTGACATGTTTTTATGACAGTTCCAGAATCCTGGGGTTATATGATCCCCTTTCCTGGCCCTTCTGACAAGCAAAATCAGTGGGGAAGCCACATTCACTTAGGCAGCTGTCTTGCTTATCAATGGGAAATTTGGACTTCATTGTAAGTCGTAAGACGAGGGCTTGAATCTGCCTCTAATCCCTTCCACTAGTGAAGGTTCAGTTCGTCCAACGCAAGGGGGAAAGAGGGTAGTTGCTGGGGTTTGTAGAAAAGGGAGATTTAATAAACCAACAACTAGTGTGTCTTGATGCCAAGTCTCTCTGAGCTCAGAGTCCAACTTGACTTCACAATGAGACTCATTGTCTATCTTGTGGGCATGAAGCAAAGCATTTAATTTGTCGGATTTGGGAAACCAGATCAGCCCATGTTTACATTTGCACTTCAGTTTGAGATGCAGACAACACAGGCTCATCCCAGCAGCCTGCGCCTGTCTTCAACACAAGGGTGGGATTCAAATTTTTTTACTACCGATTCTATGGAGGTGGCTTGGTGGGCGTGGGAGGGGAAGGATACGGCCTCCAACTCACTAACCTGCTTTCCAGCTCCGTTCTCCTGTGCAGGGCAACCAAAGAAGACCCAGCCAATCAGCTGGGACTCAATAGGAGGCAGAGAAGAGATGGGGTTGGCGGGCCAGTCAGAGGTGGGATTTGCCGGTTCTCCGAAATACTCAAAATTTCCGCTACCGGTTCTCCGGAACCGGCCAGAACCGGCTGAATACCCACCTCTGCTTCAACAGTGAAGGGACACAGGACAGAAAACATTCTACAGTCAAGAAAGCTCCATACCCATTTGCACTACTCAGATAATCCTGAGGACAGAGATAAACCTCCAAGTGGCCTCAACAATTCTCCAAAAGAAAGCAAATGACCAGCTGTCTGCAAGGAATATAAATCCTTCCATTCCCCCATCATCCACTCAGAGCTGAAGAAGTTTTTTGGATGAGAAGTGAAATGTCTTCAAAAGAAAAAAAAAACAAGAAAGTCCAGTTGCCTGTTGAAAAAAAAGCACCTTTGGGACAACCATGTCCTGGATGACTGAGAATCTCCATAGACCTTTAGCCATGTTTATAGTTTACCCAGCACCTTTAACCAAGTTCACAAGTTATGTATCACTTGGTTAACGGTACTGGGTAAACCCTACCATGAAGACACCTTCCCTAGAGGCCTAAAAGAACATATCAAAAAAAAATGCTGGGGCTCTTTTCTGTCTGAGAAGACACACTTCCACAAAACATGTAACTGAATCCTTCTCCTTGCAGGAGGTGACTAGGCTGAGCCCAAGGGAGGAGTCAATTGCATCATCAGTCTCGAATCCCTACACTTGGTTAGCTACAAAGGAAGAATACAGATTAATCTACTCAAGGCCAAAGTGTTACAAACTGAAGGAGATGCCAAGGATAATCTACTAAGCCTTTGCAACGTGCAGGAAAACATCCTAGAAATGGCTGTGTGGCCATTTCTTGAAAGCCTCCAGAGATACAGTCACAATCTCCACAGGTGGACTGTTCCACAGTTGTTCAGATGCCACCATCTGAAGATTTTTCTTTGGGTTTAAACAGAATCCAGGTAGCTGCAACTTCTACCTGGTGTTTCTGGTCTGGTCTGTTTCTGGTCTGAAGTTTGTGTGGTCGTGGAAAATACTTGGCAACATTCCTGTGACATGTTACTATGTTCCTGAATGCTCCCTTTCTTCTCCGGTTTGGTCTCACAAGGCAGCTCCTCAAATACCAATATAAGAGAATATTTGTAGCTCAGGGTTTATATAAAGTTTATATAGTTTATATAAAGTTATTGGCATTCTTGGAGCATGTTGGTTTTGATGCAGATGTTTCGTTACCAAACGAGGCAACAACATCAGTTGATCAGATGTTATCAAGTGATGATGTTATCTAGTTTGATAACGAAATGTCAGCAAGAAAACCACCAAGCTCAGAGAGCACCAAGGACCCCACAAGTCCTCAAGTCCCTGTATCTTGTTGCCCTTCTTGAACACACTCAAAACCTTCAATGTTTTTGTGGACATGTGCTACCCAGAATTACACGAGGCCTCCAGATGTGGTCACTACAGTGCAGGGCAGAGAAGAATAATGATTTCACTCATCTCAGAGACAATGTTTCCTCTAATTCAGCTGGAAATGTTCTAACATTTGTTACACACTACTGACTCTTGTTTGCTTGGGAACAATGACCACACTTAGGTCCACCTCAGAAGTCCTATTTCCAAGCCAACGATTCCCCCAGGTTGTGTGAAGGCAGTAATTCTGTTCCCAGTCCATCTGTGTGGTCTGATTTCCTTCAAATATTTTTATTGTTCTAAATGCTATTATTGTTTCATTTTCAAACAGACATGAAGATAATAAACAAGTCACCCTACACACAAACAAAAGAGGAATGTGAATGACGAAAATACATAAAAGGGAACACGCAAATAAAAAAATACCTTGTAATTACAACCATATCCCAAGTTTACCTGATTTTGTGTTTTGCAAGAAAAAAATTAAGCTTTTAACAGTGAACCAAGCTACTCAAAAAGTTTTCTCAATGGGAAAGGTAATATGACATTTTCTGATTAACCAAATATATAATTTTCTCCAAAACAGCTTAATCACACATCCCTGAAATACAACCCTTTATCTCTGGAATTAAAGAGATTTTTCCACCTCCCAAGGATTACTCATTTGGCTATTGTTAGAGCATGAAAAACCCATCTTTATTCTGAACATATTAAATTCCAAGTATCATTATATAATTCAGTAGAATACACATATCTTTGAAAACCAGTTTTCTCATCTGTCAACATATTACATAACATTACAGTATTCCCAAAAGATTGTAAGGAGGAACATGACCATAACATATGAGTTAGGGGGCCCTCAAATACCTTGTGATGTCAACATAAATAACACTTCCCCCCCTTGGTTGCGTCCACCTGTCCATTACCAGGTTCTCTCCAGCATCCCTTCCCGCTTACCTCCCTCCCTCCACCATATCTGTCTCATCTATCTCTTCTTCTCCGTTCATCATCTCATCCATCTCTCTGTATCCATTATCTGTTGCTATCTATCTATCTATCTATCTATCTATCTATCTATCTATCTATCTA